TCCTTCACGCCCTATTGAGGTCACGAGTTGCCCCCAAGGAGCGGCTCTCCAGCACGGCCATGGCTCCAGAGCACAGAAACCAATCTCATAATTATCTGACTCTCAGCAGAAATACTTTCAGGCTTAATAAGTAAAATACCAGAAATTCAAAATCAAAGAATCATTTGATTCTTGTGACCAGCTGTAGAAAACAAATTATTTCACAATGCCTTTTCAGCATGTCTGATTTGGGGGTGTAAACTCTAAATAATAATGGTGCATCTTTTGTCGAAACAATGAATCTAATCAAAGTAGATAGAGTGTTAACTAAAATTCATCTGCCTCACAGGCATTGGGAGGGTTGGGAGGGGGGGTTTCTAAAATTCATCTGCCTCACAGGCATTGGGAGGGTTGGGAGGGGGGGTTTCTTGGGGTTCTTCGTGGTGAAAAATAAGTATTAGTAAAGGGAAATGTGTTTGATATTTGCATGACCGAGACTTAAACCTGAAAGCTTTGTAACTTTTCCCACAGTGATTCAATAAATAAATAAATAATTTTTAAAAAAAAGAGGGAGGTCACCGGGTTACTCTAAATTGGGACCCTTTATCCTAGTCACAATCCATTTCACCAGAGTACCCCAAGTACATATGAAATGGGCCTATTAAATTTTCACACAACCCCAGGTGTATAAAATAGGTACAAAAACATTTAGTGATAATTAATCCTAAATTGTTTTTTTGTTTGTTTGTTTGTTTGCTTTTTGGGTCACACCCGGCAATGCTCAGTGGTTACTCCTGGCTCTGCATTCAAGAATCACTCCTGGCGGTGCTCAGGGGACCATATGGGATGCTGGGAATCGTACCCAGGTTGGCCGCGTGCAAGGCAAACGTTGTGCTATCGCTCCAGCCCCTTTTAAGTATTTTTTTAAAACAAAATTTTCAAAACTCCCACATTCAGTTACAAATATGGTGCCACATTTTAAGAAGCTACGTGCCAAAATAAAGAGGCTTGGAAGATATAAGAAATTAATTTTCAATCAATTTTGGGGATGCTTTGAGCTATAGCCGGTAGTGCTCTGGGCTTCCTCCTGATGGTACAAAAGGAACCATATGTGGACCTGAGAATTGAAGAGAGGCATGCAAACCAAGTGCTAGGGTACTACCTCTCCAGCTTTTAAACAGACGTTTTTGAGACAAAGGGAAAACCGAATATAAACTGAGTATTATTAGATGGTATTAAGGAATCATAAATGTTGGAATGACGTGTCCAAGGATGTAGTACTGCAGTAAAATGCCTGCCCCATAGGCATGGGGCAGTGAAGTGGAGCTCCTGTCCTGTCCATCAAGTGCAAGCCCCTTGGGGTATAGGCATTGGAGCCCTCCAATTCTACAAGTGTGTGATCCTGCAAGAACCACAAACTTGTGTTTGTGGGCACTGCAATCAAGTGTACCACCTCAGTCATCACAATAACAAAGAGAAAGGGAAAACATAAAAATAATTTTGTGATGTATAATAATCACATAAAGTTGATTATGTGCTTTTTTTTTTTTTAAACAAGAGGTTTTTCTTAGAAGTGGATTTTGGGGGGGAGGTGGAGAGAGAAACATGCTCAAGAGAGAACACAGGCTTCTCCAGAGTGGATTAAGAGCACCAGCACACAACTCACCAGGGGAGATGTGCGGAACATATGTGCTAAGGCACCATATGCACACAGCAATATATTTGCTCGGGAAGCATACACGTGATTATGTTCATATTTTTATGCTCATATTTTTGAAGAGATTCAAGCTGAAGAAATGAAATGCCATGAAACCCAAGATAACAATGCAGCATAAAATGAGGAGGAGGAGCAGTTAAGACTGAAGTGTTCAAAGATCCCGTTCCTTGCTGAATCTGGGTAATGTGTACACCACGGTCTCACTGTTATTATCGGAATTATCTTGCAGTGCCAGGGGATCAAACTCAGGACTTCACACATACAAAGCGACTGTTCTGCTGCTGAACTACATCCCAACTGTATGATTCTCGATAAAACTGAAAACAGAGACAAAGTCAATCTTAGTTGATGGCATTTTACAATCAGGAGCTTGGGGCTAGAGAGAAAGTATGAAGTTATGGCACCTGCCTTACATACAGCCAACCCTAGTCTGATCAGCAGCTCTGAATATTGGTCAAGCACCACCGGGAGTGATCCCCAAGCACAGAGCCAGGAGTAAGCCCCGGGCAGCAGACAGGTGTGGCCCCAACGCCCAGCCCCCATAAGAAAATCAAAATCAGGTGCTTGCGCTTAAAAATATGGATTTCTGATTTCATATGAAAAATCAGATGCTGGCAAAATGGCCCACAACCTTGAACGACAAGTCTCAGCAAGAGCTGAGTACATGTGGCTGGAGGGATAGTACAGTGTACAGAGCACTGATAGAACAGGCCACTTGTCTTGCCTGTGGATACCTGGGTTTGAGCCACAGAACCCTGTACTGATCTCCAAGTGCCACCAAGAGTGATCACTGGGTCCAGAGTAAAACCTGAGCACTGATGGGTATGACCCTAAGATTTTTGTAAGCAGAAAAAAACTGAATTCAACTGGGAAGATGGCTCAAAGTGGCGGAGCATATGCTTTGCATGAGGGAGTCCCGGGTTTGGGTCCCCAGAACACATGGTACCGACACCAGAACAGTGCTCAAACACCGTCGGTTGTGCCCCCTCCTCCTAAAAAAAGCAAGTCACTCCAAATGTAGTAGTCACTCCAAATGACTCCAATTTCCACCACTCTCAACCAGTCCCCATTCATCATCGCTGCTGCAGTTTTTCTGGAACCCATATGACATTCAGGATTTTTGTTGATCTGTTTTGGGGCCAGACCCAGCAATGCTCAGGGGTTACTCCTGGCTATGCACTCAGAAATTACTCCTGGAGGTGTTCAGGGAACCAAATGGGATGTTGGGGATTGAACCAAAGTTGGCTGCATGCAAGGCAAATGCACTACCCACTGTAGTATCACCTTGCCCAGTGACATTAGGGTTTTGAAGACCAGGATTCAGTAGTCCCGCCAAGTAGGTAGTGCTAAGGGGAGCAGAGCAGATATGTGAAAAGCAACTGACTGAGGGGGAAACATTAGCAAGCCTAAGTGCAGACTCCTGAAGCTGCCTCAGATACAGATGCAGTTCCACAAAGATCATGTCACAGCAAGGTAATATACACACACTAGAAAACAGGAAAACAAAAACGCTTCCTGTGCGCAGGGTTCTAACAGTCTACTAAGGATGACAAGGAATAAGCTCAAGAAGGTACACTATAAAAGAAACCCAGCCAACACTAAGCTGAGGGACTGGAGAAAAAGTAGATTGGGTAGGCACTTACCTGGCACACAGCCACCTGGTTCCATCTCCAGCATCCTTCCCCCCACACTCAGCACGACCAGAAGTTACCCCTGAACATCCCTGAACATTGCGGGGTGTGGCTCAATACCCCAAGCCCCCAAAAGAAACTAAGCTGAGTTTAGGGTTCTGCTCAAAGTGGCTGAAGAAAAGAGCAAAGCAGAAAGCAACAAAATAGAGCCAGTTGGCAAAAGGAAATGAGACCAAGGTCTCCCTCAAGGCTCGAATACTGATTCTATGCGCTACAAGCTTTAAAAAAGCTGAAAAGCACACACTTCATTATGCTGTCTCCAAGTCTCTGAAATTGTGCCATGGAAGGAGAGGCCATGAGCAAGAATGAAGAGTTTATGAAGGAGACAATGTATGAAGAGTTCACCAAAGAGGTCTGATGAAGCGTTTCGATCTTCCAATAAAGTATAAACACACCGCAGATTTTACCACTTCTGAGATTTCAATACTTTATAAACCAATTATGGTCTTCTACCTGAAGCTCCATTAAAAATGCAAATTTGGGGCCAGAACCATAGTACAATGGGTAAGGAAAACCTAGGTTCAATCCCCATCACCTTATATGGTTCCAGAGCACCACTGCCAGGTGTAATTCCTGAGTGTGCTCCCCCCCATAAAAAAAAATAAAATAAAATTTAAGCTGGGATATGGCTCCAGTGGTAGGGTATGGTTGGGTTCAATCCCTAGCACCACCAAAAGAAAACTATTTTATTTAATCTATGAATAGTCCCCATTCTGGCTGTTGGTTTTATGGTTTTGTTTTTTAAGCGAAAGAATAGGGATCAGAGAGATAGTACAGCAAACAGGGCACCTCTGCCTTACTGGGGTTCGATCCCCGGCATCCCATATGGTCCCCCAAGCACCACCAGGAGTGAGTCCTCAGTGCAGAGCCGGGAGTAACCCCTGAGCGTCATGGGACGTGGCCACCAAAAACAAAACAAAAAAGACACGCCCTCCCCTCCCCCAAAAAAGTAAAAGGAAGAATAAGATGATCTAAAACATAAATTAAATCATGATTGTTCTAATATTATCTTTCAAAGATCTGGTCGGGGTGGCGAAGGTAGCTCAAAAGGTAAACAGAACACACACCGAGCATAGACAAACCCCCCTGGGTTCTGTCCCCAACACAGGTCCTCCCTAAGCCCTGCTGCGGATGGCTTCAAAGCAAAACAAACCCACAACAAGCACGAAGATCTGGCCTGGACACCCCAAGGGTGAAAATGGGACCCAAGAGGCACGATCCCGGGGTATCCGTGAAACTGACACCCAGACTCCTGAGTACTATGCAAGAACCGGCACCAGGATTTGATCGATCTGGATGACTCAAGCACAGGACCCTCCTCACAGGACAAATGGGGAGAGGACACGACTGCAGCGATCGCAGCCCACCAAGCATCCGTCCCCCAGGTCGGACACCGGCGCATCGCCCCCCCCCCCACCCCCTGAGCTTCTCCACGTGCGCCTTCCCGGGGCCGAGACGAGGCCTGCAGCACCACCGCGTCCCGCGGGGGAGTAGACCCACAGGGCGCTGCTGCGGGGCCGAAAATCGGCTCAGACCCGCCCGCCCGCGCCCCGCACCCCGAGGTAGGCCTCCCCCCGCCCGGCCCCGCCGCCCCGCGTGCCCACGCGCCGCACCTTGAGGTGGGTTCGCAGGCCGCCCTCGCCCGCAGGCTGCTCCGTGATCTCGTACGAGCCCGTCACCAGCAGGTCCTTGTGGATCTCCTCGCGCAGGCACTTGCGGGAGTTAACGGGCAGGTGGAAGGAGATGGCGAGCACCCCGCTGGGGCCGAGGAGGAGCAGAAGCAGCCACGGTAACGGGCACGGGCCACGCTGGGCTAGAGGGCCAGACAAACCAAACATGGTGCCGGAGACTGTTCGCCACCCCGGGCCTCGGCCGCGCCGGAACCGGGAGCGCCCACGTGACTCACCTCTGACCCGCGAGTGCCGGGGGCGCCATGTTGGAGAAGGGCACGGGGGAGGGGTTGGAACTGCCTAGAGAAATCTTTCGAAAGAGAGAAGACAGCACCGCACCCACCCATGATTCTAAGTGGCGGAATAAAAGTTTCTTTCTGAGCTGGGTCGCAGAAACTCGCTCTTTGGGGAGATGACAAACCCGTTTCGGTCGGCCATGTCAACTATGGGCAAACCCGGAAGGAATTCTGCCTTAACTTCCGGGAGCGAGGCCCCGGTGTTTTGAGGCCCGTGGTACCATAGTAACCGGGCCCCAATAGGAGACGGCCACAAGGCTCTTCGTGGCCCCGCCCACCAGCCGCCCACGCCACCGACGGGCGGGGCGCGGACGTGACGGGCTCCTCGGGGGGTCGGGCCTCGATGACATTCCGGACGTTGAGCGTTTCAGGGGGAAACGTGGAGGTGGCGCGCTGGATTGCACTTGGCTGGCAGTGAGGGCTGCTCCCTCGCCGGAGGTGTGGCGGCGCCCTGGTGTGCGTGCGAGGTGGGCGAGCTTGGGGTTCGTGCTGCAGAGCCGCGGAGCTCACTTGCCGGCGGGGATAACTTTGCGGTCCTACTGTGCGTTTAGCAAGTGCTGGTCTCCCGCTCTCATAGTGGCAATAAAAGGATAAGGCACCAGACTTAAGTTTGGGTTTCGTTATTTGCATCGAGTCAAGCGTTTTTCAGGGCTGCCAGAAATGGGCCTCTGTCCGTTTACCAAACCGAAGTTGTTAGGGAGGGCATTCGTGTCTTGTTGTATTTATCTCGTTATTTTCCACTGTTGTTTTGGAGCTACGCCCGGTGGTGGGTGATGCTGGGAGCCATGCTGGGCCCTGTGGAGGGCACTGCACTAGGAGGTACTCAGGGGACCAGGTGGTGGTAGGGAGTAACCCAACCCATGTCATCTGCACACAAGGCCTTAAACCCTGTGCTGTTTCTCCAGCCCTGCCTTGTAAGGTTTTAAATACACACACACTTTAGGGATTAAGCTGACCAGTCTGTAGGAAGCAGATGTACATGTCAAATGATTCATGCTCTGTGGGCCCCCTACCCTTGAAGACAAGAGGCCAGTTGTTCCAGCCAATATCATGCGACATGCCCAGGTGTGATCTCACAACACTGCCTGTTGTGAACCCAGGCTCCACAACCAAGTGTGAACTGTGTCTGCAGCTCCCCAAAGGGGAAAGGAGGAAACAAAGCACATTCCTTTACACAGATGGTTGCATGCATGAAAGCCGATGAAGGAGGACATGGTTACTGATGTAGCCAAAAGATTGGGATATTTTCACATATTCAGGCCTGAGGAAGAAAAGAAGGCACAGCAGCCAATATGTAGAATTGCTCTCTACTTTGATGGTGTTTAGTAAGCATTTGCAGAAGGTGGACTATCTGCTCTTAATTTAAGTAATTGTTCTGTGTTTATAGCTATGCTCTGTCCATCTAGTTCCCTTCCTGGAACAGAAGTTCCCACAAAACAAGGACAAACATAAAGGAGCTGTAAAACATTTGAAAAATCTGACAAATGCCATTACTTTCTAATGAAGTGTCCACTTAGGGGTACTTGTTTGATTATTTTCTCTCTAATCTAAGATAAGATTTTTAGTCTACTCAGGACAGCCCTGACCATCTGTGTGGGCCTTTTCCCTGCAGTTCAGGGAATTGGCCCAGTTCTAATAACTCACCATTGACTCTCAGTCCTGGATCCTGCTGACCATCTATGAGAGATTTGCAACCTAGGACTTAGGAATGGCACAAAAGGCTGTAGGAGCCCCAGGATCCATACCAGGCACCACATGATCCATCCCTAACACTGCCATGAGCACCTACCCCCCACCCCCACCCCAAAGAAAGCAGTAGGTGTTGGGTTGGGGCGCTAATTCAAAGGGCTGTAACCCAAAGGAATAAGTACCACTAGGAGTGATGCACCATGAGCAACACCAACACCACTGGGTATAGCCCAAAAAAGAAAAAGATTTGCAACCATAGAACACCTGTGCATATTTCCCCCCAAATTTCTTACCTTTATGTTGTAGCTCATACACTTTTCAATATTTTCACATTATTTCATTTGACATTTTTTAAAACCAGGTGGCACGTATCTGACATCTGACCTGGGTTTGATGCCCAGCACCAGATACTGTGCCCTGCCAGGAGTGATCCCCTAAGCACAAAGCTTGGAGTAAGTCCTGAGCACCTCTGTGTGTGGCCTAAGAAACAAAACCAAACACCAGAAAATCCCAACCAAAAAATTGTTAAAAGGCAAGATACTAATTTTAACAGGTGAAGAAATGGCAAAAATTGAAAATGAGATGAGGGCTATAGAGATGATAGAGTTGGGTAGGGTGCTTGCAATGCATAGAGCTGACCCTGGTTTGATCCCTGCACCACATATGGTCCTCCATGCACCTCTAGTAGTGACTTCTGAGCACAGAGCCAGGAGTAAGTCCTGAGCACTGCTAGGTGTGGCCCCTAAACCATGTGGTTCTAGGGGTAAGTTATTTTTCTGGCCCCTCAAGTCCATAGTTTGAAAATGACAATAACAAATCCACATGAGAGAGAGAGAGAAAGAGAGAGAGAGAGAGAGAGAGAGAGAGAACATAGGGACATAGGGTGAGGCACTTGTCTTGCATGTAGCCAAAACCCTCAGCACTTGTTGAATGTGGTCCCCAATCCCCCAAATAAATAAATATGACAGGTTCAGGCCAAAGATTTGGCTCAGTAATAAAGCACACCTTGTATGTGTGAGGCCCTGGATTTGATCGCTGGCACCAGTTTAAAAAATCAGAAAGTCAGGTGTTTTTTTTTTTAACCTGAGTGCTTTAGGAAGGTGTTATTATTATTTTACCGATGAAGAAACTAAGACCAAGAGAAACTGATGTACTTTGCTAAGTCATAACTTCTCCCCGTCCCCAGATCCCCAGTCCTATAGTTCCTCTTGCCTAGTTCCCAGCTCTTTCCTTTCTGTCTTCTCTCTCTTCATTTTCTCCCTTAGTGCTCACCACTAATTCAGCATATAGTTCACTATGTATCATGTTTATTGATCTGTCTCCCTAACTTGGATGTCTGTTTTGCAAAAAAAAAAAAAAAAGCAGAGATTCTTGTCTATTTTGCTCACTGCTTTATCTTCTGAATCTAAATATTACCTGACACTCAGAAGGTCCAATAAATAATGGTCCTGTAATGCAAGCCTGGATTCCTCCTCGCACAGCACCGGCCTAGCAGCAAATTCCTTCCATTCCTGAACTATTTTCTCACAAAGTAATTTTATCCACAATGTATCTATGTGCAGATGTGATTTTAGTTTCACCAAAAACAGGGTTTGGTTTTTTTTTTTGGGGGGGGGGGAAATGGGGTGGGGTGGGAAGAGCACACTCAGTAGTGCTTGGGGCTGCTCCCAACGCTGTGCTCAGGGGTGGCTCCTGGCAGTGCTCCAAAGAACGCCGGGTTCCCTTCTGCAAAGCATATGCTTGCAGCCCTTTTGTGCTATTTCTCCAACCCAACAAAACATTTTTGAGTTGAAAGTGTATTTTTATTTCCACTTTGAGAAGATAGAAAATTCTTCCCTGTACACTGTGGAGGATGAAGCAAAATAGAACTCACAGAGAACCCAGACATTTGGGGAGTCTGCCATGTGGTGCTCAGGGTGACAGGGGCCTCTCCCGGTGAAACTTGGTCAACTGGGCTGGTGGTCCAGACTTTGTGTCCAAGGATGCAGTGCTGCTCAAGCCCTGTGGTGCCAGGGACCCTTAGGGGTACCCTGGTGGTGCTTGAGGGACTTCCTGGTGATGCTTGGGGCCCCCAAGGCTATACCTGATGATGCTCAGGAGGTCATGAGATAGAAGCTGGGTAGATCCTAACCTTGTAATATCTTTGCAGACGGAGAAACCAGAGTTTTAAGCTCTGTGTCTGCACTTTTGTTTTTAATGCCATTTTTTCCAGGTATGTGGTTCAGTGACTTAGTGCCTGGTTTGTGTGCATGAGGCCTGGATTCCATCCCTGACATTTGACCTCTATGTAGGGGAAACCCCATTCCTAAAAGCAATGAAACTGCCCTACAAGTAAAGAAAATGCCTCTTCCTGGAACCAGAAAATAGCTCAAGAGCACACGCCTGGCATGTGGGAGGCGCCACATTCCATCCCTGGTACCACGTGGCCTGAGAGGCCCTGCGTTCCATCCCTGCACCCACGGCCTCTCAACACCACTGACCTAATCTTGGGGTGGGAGGAGGGTTGGGGCCGGGGGTAGCAAGTTCCTCCTGGCCCAATAGTCCTTTGCTTTCTGTAATCCTGAAATATTCCCAGCCAAACCCTCCTGAGATACCTAAAGTCCCTGGAGTCTCTAAGGTGAAGAGACAATGAGGACAAGCCCTTGATCCTGTGTATCCCCCAAACTGTGCTTCTCAGCCTTTCATTTGTTTATTTAATTTGTTTGTTTTGGAGGCCACACCTGACTGTGCTCAAGGTTTACTCCTGACTCGGTGCTCAGGAATCACTCCTGGCTTGGTTCAGGAGACCGTTTGTAGTGCTGGGGATTGAACCTGGGTTGGTCCGTGGAAGGCAAGCACCTTCTAAAAGGGAACATATGAACAAAATCTCCAAGTTTTCATGGAGTTGGGATGGGCAGCCCCCCACCCCCCACCGCATTCCTCTGTTCTTCCAGGAGCCTGGCAGTCACGCCCATGAACTGCCTCTGGCACCGTAAAAGCTCATTAACCAGCCACGGTCCAGAGACTCACAAATAAATCTTGGAAGAAATCAACAAGCCGCAGAGATGCCTCAGAACCCAAAGTTAAAAATTTCACCATTCAGTTAAAAATTTAACTCCAACTATATCATCTTATTTTAAATTTTAGAATTCCTGGAGTGTACGGCCACAACAACTCATACTCTATACCACTGATGTTCCAGGAGTTCCGTTGGATAAGGGTGTAAGGTAGAAGGCGACAATCTCAATTTTTTTTCTTTTTG